AGTGCAGCAGGACTTCCACGACCTGCTTCTGCTGCTAGCTGACTTCTTCCCAAGGAAGGTAGTCGCAACACTGCTGAGCGCTCCACCACGAGACAGGTACTGGCCCTGAAAACCCTGAGGCCTTGTGGGCTGTGGGGAGGGGGAGCCTGAGACTCTCTGGCTCCCAGACCCAAGGAATGATGCAGGACAGCCCTGAGGAGAGAGGTTCTCCACGCCACCAGGCCTTCCAGCCCTGCTGGCTTGCCCAGGCCCGCAGCAGACAAAGCTGGCCGAGCCGGCCCAGAGCCAATAGCCTAGAGGGGAACACCACCTCAGTCCCCTCCTGCCTGCCCAGGCAGGGCCCTCAGGCACCTGGGCTGGCCCCAGCCATGCTGCAGTCGAGGCCGCCCTGCTGACCTAGTGCTCTGCCTTGCAGGGTGGCCATGGAAATGTGGCAGATCATTTTCGCGAAGCCACCGCTTAGAGAAAGGATACTGTGGTCATTCGCTGCCATGCTCTGGGTGGACTGGTGGCCCTGTAGTCTCAGCGCTTCCTCTTCAGAAAGCAGCTCCATGTCTGACTTGGCTGTGAGTTTGCAGAAAAGGACCTGATGCCCCGCCACAAGCCTTGCAGACTGCCAGGATCTCACTACTGTGCTTGCTTCTACAGCCATCGCCCAGCGACACCAGCATGAAGTTTGAGAGGGACGATGAGGATGAAGACTTGGAAGAGCTTCGCAACGACAACTTTGATATTGATGAGGAGCTTCCAACGCTGCCAGCCTCCCAGGTGCTCGAAGGCCTCCTGAGGCTGTTAAAGATACCTGGCATGGTGAGCATGGTGGCATCAGGGACAGGCAGGGCTCTGGGGCTGTGGGTAAGGCGGTGGCTTGGTGTGGGCTGGGAGGCAGGTGTTGGGGTGGCTGCTGCAAACTGCCTTGCTGCCACACTGGGGCCTGGTGGCTGCCTGGGGAGCTTTGCAGGCGTGCATCTTCTCACAAAAAAGAAACTCCGTCTTTCGTACAGGCACTAAAAATGGAGTTCTTGGTGCCACACCTAATGGAGCTGCTGTGGCTTGACCGGGAAGACCTGAAGAAAAAGGTCATGGTGATCCTGAAAATACTGATACAGGAAGGCATGAACAACATATGGGCCAGCCCCCCCCATAAGTATCTGATGGAGAACCTCCCGCGCTTCCTCGACATGGTAAGGCTGATGTTGGAGCGTGAGCCCTGAGATGGGCACTGGGCCATGACAGCCGCCCTGCAGCCCAGCCCTGTCAGCAGCTCTCGGAGCAGGCTCTGCTCCCCTGGGCTCTTGGGGCTTCTGGGCCTTGCAGCCCAGTGCAAGTTGTCCCTGCTCTGGAAACTGACGCCAGGGCATCTCCCTCAGCCACCATGCCCACCTCCCTTCACTGTGGGCAGGGGCCGCTTTTTCCCAAGCTCACCATTCCTCCTTCCTACCAGGAGAACAGCGACTTGCGCGAGTTCTTCATCTGCCGCTTCAAAGACTACCTGAGCTCTGAGGTGGCGAGGAACAGGAGCAAATTCAAGGCGTCTCTACGGAGGGTACTGGTGCCACTGATCATTCGCACCAGTGACCAGCCCCCGAGTGTGGGCAAGGTACAGATTTGAAGGCTGAGCACTGGCAGAGGGAGAGGTGGGCTGACCCGTCCTGTGGGGCCCAGGATGTTAACAGGGCAAGGGCTGCTGGCAGTGGGCGGCCGTCCTGCGGGGCTGTCCTCAAAAGTCCCCTAGACCCTTTGGCGAGGGCAGCTTCCTAAGGGCAGGATCACCCCAGGAACAAAGCCAAGAGCTCTGCTTTGCCAGCCTTGGTGCTATCTCACACCTTCTGCTTCTCTGCAGGCAGCCGAGGAAGCGCTCCTTGCTACAGCAAAGCTCCTCAAGTTGAGGGAGCTGAAAGAACCGGTGAAGACACAGGAGCCGTGGAGGATCGTCGAGTGCTTGGTAAGGCCGAGCGGCAGCGTGCAGGCTGGGTGAGGGTTGTCCCGCCCCCAGAGCCCGCGCTGTGCGCCCAGAGCCCAGAGCCCAGAGCCCGGAGCTGCACCCCAGTGTGTGTCCTCCAAGAACAGAGCCCCAAGGGCTCCTGTCCAGGCCCCTGTCCCTTCCCTGCAGCCAGTGGGAGAGAGGGCTCTGGGCAACCCTGAGTGCTGGCAGGAGGGACGGCTGCAGGCAACGGGAGGGCTCTGTGACATGCCCATGTCCTTGTGCTCTCTCCAGCTGGGGAAGGACAGCAGCAGGGCTGAAGAGTACCTGCGTCAGGGCCTGGCGTACCTAGAGGACCCCGAGGCCTCTGTGCGAGAGGCGGCCATCCGGTTCATCGGTGAGCCCCAGCGCCTGGGGACCCTCTTTGGACAAGCTGGCCCTGTCCCTGCTCCTGCCCTGACAGCCAGGCACGGCCCTGGGGCTGCCCGAGCTCCAGCTGCCGCATGCTGGGTTTGGGCTTCCCTGTGCCCCACCCTGCCCACGCAGCTGGGCTTGGGGGCCACTTAGCTGAGTTCCACCCCCCGGAGCTGCTGGTGGTTCCTGGGCTCATCCCTGCTGAGGGGGAGGATGGCAGGGCCAGGGGCTGGGCTGCTGGGACCCGCTGGGGAGCAGGGGCTGACGGAGCTTTGTGCCTAGGAGTGGCCACGCGGCACCTGAGGAACCGAACCACAGACACACTGGATGAGATCTGCAGCGGTGAGTGGGGAACATGGGCTGGAGGGGACACTGGGGGGTCTCTGCAGACACAGGCGTTCATCTCGGCTCTGTTTCTTTTGCTCGCAGCCCTTCAGCCCTTGACGAAAGACAGCAATGAGTTCGTCTCTTCCCTGGCCCAACAGACAATCTACGTTCTGAAGGCTTTAGGACCAACACCACCGCCTCGCTTCAGTCTAGAATCACTGCTCTTCTGGCACCGCCGTCCACATCCATGAAGAGCTTCCAACACTCCCAGCCTGCAGGCGCTGTCCGAGACACCTGATCTGGTGAGCAGGGACAGCCATGTTGGCATCCAGGGCTCTGGGGCTGTGGGCAAGGCGGTGGCTTGGCGCGGGCTGGGAGGCAGGTGTTGGGGTGGCTGCTGCAAAGTGCCTTGCTGCCATGCTGGGGCCTGGTGGCTGCCTGGGGAGCTTTGCAGGCGTGCATCTTCTCACAAAAAAGCAACTCTGTCCTTCGTACAGCCAGAAAAATGGGAGCTTCTGGTGCCGAACATGATGGAGCTCGTGTGTCTCGGCAGCAAAGACTTCTGGACGAGAGGTTGTGATGATGCCTAAAAACCGGATGTGTCAATATCTGAAGAAGACAAAGGCCAGCCCCGCCACTGAGGATCCGGTGGAGAACCTCCCGCGCTTCCTCGACATGGTAAGGCTAATGTTTGAGAGTGAGCCCTGAGATGGGCACTGGGCCATGACAGCTGCCCTGCAGCCCAGCCCTGTCAGCAGCTCTCGGAGCAGGCTCTGCTCCCCTGGGCTCTTGGGGCTTCTGGGCCTTGCAGCCCAGTGCAAGTTGTCCCTGCTCTGGAAACTGACGCCAGAGCATCTCCCTCAGCCACCATGCCCACCTCCCTTCACTGTGGGCAGGGGCCGCTTTTTCCCAAGCTCACCATTCCTCCTTCCTACCAGGAGAGTGCGAGTTCTTCATCTACCGCTTCAAAGACCACCTGGGCTCAGAGGTGGTGAGGATCGAAAACAAATTGAAGGTGTCTCTACGGAGTGCACTGGGGCCGCTGCTCATTTGCACAAGTGACCAACCCCGAGTGTGGGCAAGGTACAGATTTGAAGGCTGAGCACTGGCAGAGGGAGAGGTGGGCTGACCCGTCCTGTGGGGCCCAGGCTGTTAACAGGGCAAGGGCTGCTGGCCGTGGGCGCCCGGCACCCGGCGCACGCCAAGGGAAAGGTCCCTGCAGAACCAGCGCGAGCAGGGACAGAGAGTCTGGCTCGGCCAGTTCCAACGCCTTCTCTAGGGCTCTGGTAGGGCTGGTCAGCAGCCTGGGGCCACAAAGCTTGAGTAGGCACATCCCCGCAGGCTTCTCTTCTGTCCCTGGCACGTGTCGAAGGTCAGGGCTTTGAGCCTCAGGTGCTGTCCTCTGGGGCTGTCCTCACCAGTCCCCTAGACCCTTTGGCGAGGGCATGTCCCAGCTTCCTAAGGGCAGGATCATCCCAGGAGCAAAGCCAAGAGCTCTGCTTTGCCAGTCATGGTGCTATCTCACACCTTCTGCTTCTCTGCAGGCCACCGAAGAAGCGCTCCTTGCTGCGATGAAGTTCATCAAGTGGAGGAAGATGAAAGACCTGGTGTCATGGGTTTGCTCTGGGCCAATTTTCTCTCGCCCCCTACACAATTGCTATCAGTTGAGAGAAGGTTTTTGCTGACAAAAGAGATCTGATTGGGGAGAATAATCTCAGGATTTATTAGTAGCAAGATAAAATCTAAAGAACTAGATATACAACAATTCTAAGTAGGCAAAAGTGCTCTGTTTTTACAGAAATGCCCCTCCTGCCTTGTAGCAGTTCAGGACGAGAAGCAGTCTCCTTTCCATTTCTGGAGCTTTAGGTCTTTTAACTAAGTTTCACCACATGAGCCCAAGGGATAAGGGCTTTTGAGTCCACCCCTGTTTCCTCTAGGGTCCCTTCTCCCAAGAGACAGTCTTTGATGGACCTCTCGAACGTCAGGCGACTTTCGGACAAGAGTTCTTCCATTCTCTGCTGTCCCGCAGGGTCACAAATTCAGCTGCAGTAGCATGGATGCCTCACTGAGATCACAAGGTCCTACACGGGCCGAGTCGCTCCAGCGTAGGTCTCTCTCTCCATGGGCCACAGGTCTCCAGCAGGACTCTGTTTCATCTAGGCCTCCCATGGAGTCACATGTACTTCGTGCCCTCTGCTTCGGCGTGGGCTCCTTCGTGAGCTGCAGAGGGGGGTTTCCGCTCCCCAGCAATCTTTTACAGGTGGCAGGGATTTTCAGTTTTCAGTCTCTTCCCTGCTGAAGGGAGCTTTTCTTCTCTCTCTCCTTCAGCTGCCAGCTTTGACCTTGGAGGCTCTGTTATCTCTGCCTGGAATTCCTTCTGCAGTATTTCTCCTCTAAGTTCTACTCTAAAGTTTTTTTTTCTCTACTCTGTTACAGGAGAGAAGGGGGCCTGGCCCCCCTTGCCCGGGCCAGACTTGGCCGGGGAAGGCGGGCAGGGGGGCCACGCCTGGGCCCAACAGGGCCGGCTGCAACGCCGGCTCTTCCATTTTCTTCTGTGCCACAGGCTTCTCTTTTGTTTTCTTAAAGATGTAATTGGCAGATACTAGGATATTATTGACTTATGAGGAGATTATTTATGATTAGGAGATTATTAGGAGATTATTTATTATTAGGAGATTATTTATTACTAGCAAGAGAAAATCGAAAGAATCATATATACAACAATTCTAACCAGTCAAAAGTACGAGGTATTTACAGAAATACCCCTCCCCCTTGTATCAGTTTTATTCTGTGCCACAGGCTTCTCTTCCTTTTTCTTGAAGGTGGAATTGGCAGAGAGTAGGATACTATTTAGTTATTATACCTAACTCTATCTTTGTGGCTTTATCACAAATATAGCACACATTCTTATAATGGGTCAGTCTATTTTGTCTGCAGACCTCTCTCAGTTATCTTCAAATCCTCATGGCTTATTCCTCACACGGGGCAACATTTAAATGGCGAAGTCTGATATGGCCTCTGCCTCTCCTGGCAGTCTTTGCCTGCACTCTCCACCAAAAATGTCGTGGCTTTGCTCTGGGCCAATTTTCTCTCACCCCCCGCACAATTGCTATAAGTTGAGAGAAGGTTTATGCAGACAAAAGAGATCTGATTGGGCAAAACAATATTAGGATTTATTACTAGCAAGACAAAAACTAAAGAACTATATGTACAAAAGTCCTAAGGAGGCAAAAGTACAATGTTTTTACAGAAATAACCCTCCCCCTTGTGTCAGTTTTCTTCTGTGCAAGAACCTTCTCTTCCATCCTCTTAAATATGGAATTGGCAAAGGTGTTACTAAAACTTTGGATTGGCTTTGCTCCGGATATGCACCTGGAGAAAACTATTTTCAGCCTCAGGGGGGGCCAGTTGGCAAACCCATGACACCTGGTGAAGACACAGGAGCCGTGGAGGATCGTCGAGCGCTTGATGAGGCCGAGCGCCAGCGTGCAGGCTAGGGTGAGGCTTGTTCTGCCCCCGGAGCCCGCCCTGTGCACCCAGAGCCCGGAGCTGCACCCCAGTGTGTGTCCTCCAAGAACAGAGCCCCAAGGGCTCCTGTCCAGGCCCCTGTCCCTTCCCTGCAGCCAGTGGGAGAGAGGGCTCTGGGCAACCCTGAGTGCTGGCAGGAGGGACGGCTGCAGGCAACGGGAGGGCTCTGTGACATGCCCATGTCCTTGTGCTCTCTCCAGCTGGGGAAGGACAGCAGCAGGGCTGAAGAGTACCTGCGTCAGGGCCTGGCGTACCTCAAGGACCCCGAGGCCTCTGTGCGAGAGAGGCGGCCATCCGGTTCATCGGTGAGCCCCAGCGCCTGGGGACCCTCTTTGGGCAAGCTGGCCCCGTCCCTGCTCCTGCCCTGACAGCCAGGCACGGCCCTGGGGCTGCCCGAGCCCCAGCTGCCGCATGCTGGGCCTGGGCCTCCCTCCGCCCCACCCTGCCCACGCAGCTGGGCTTGGGGGCCACTTAGCTGAGTTCCACCCCCCGGAGCTCCTGGTGGTTCCTGGGGTCATCCCTGCTGAGGGGGAGGATGGCAGGGCCAGGGGCCAGGCTGCTGGGACCCGCTGGGGAGCAGGGGCTGACGGAGCTTTGTGTCTAGGAGTGGCCACGCGACAAACATCCGTGAGCAGCTTCCAACACTCCCAGTTCCCAGGCGCTGTCCGAGACACCTGATCTGGTGAGCAGGGACAGCCATGTTGGCATCCAGGGCTCTGGGGCTGTGGGCAAGGCGGTGGCTTGGCGTGGGCTGGGAGGCAGGTGTTGGGGTGGCTGCTGCAAAGTGCCTTGCTGCCATGCTGGGGCCTGGTGGCTACCTGGGGAGCTTTGCAGGTATGCATCTTCTCACAAAAAAGGAACTCTCTCCTTCATACAGGCAGGAAAACTGGAGCTCCTGATGCCTTCAGATCTTCAGCAAAGCCACAATTCAAACTACGAGCACTGCTCTTCCGACGCCACTGATCCAGTTGTAGATGGCTGTGATTTAATAAAGCACCAGAAAGAGGCCCAAACCCATGGTGTCCTTCAGATGCGCCGCATCCTGGGCAGACTGTGTTCTGCTTGTCCTGTACCGCTGCCTGCAGGACTACTTCCCCCTCAGCATACCCACAGCCCCAGGCTTGTTGGGGAAGTTGACCTCACACTGAGGCTTTCTCCACGAGAAGCCACATTTGTCTCTCTTTAGGGCAGTCCCCCCACCACACAGTGAGGATAGGGCAGCGAATTAGTGGCCCCAGCTCGGCCTCCCCATGGGTATCCAGGCATCTGTTGAGGCATCTGCTGTTGCTGCATCCCCACCTCCCCTCACCATAATGGACTTTCAAGGGTTTCCAAGCAGAGGGAACAAGAGGGGACCCAAGGGAAACCTGAGGGGTATTAGAGGGACTGGAGGACAAACAAGGAGTCTCGGTCACCGCTGCCATGGCAGAGGATGGACCTCCGCTGTCCTTCTGTTGCACTGCTAGCATGTTTTCATCTTTTCTGCCCTGGGGGAAAAGAAGTATCCTGTTTCCTTGAATAGCTGATTAGCATCATTTTGTGATGTCCTCGGAGGGGATTATTTTTGACCTAATCATCTACAGGAAAGTTTGGAGACTTCACTCGGTGTGCCCCGTCACAGTGCTGAGCACACGTAGTGGAAGACACAGAGTCAGACGACCCTGCCCAGAAGAACTTTCTGCCTGAAAGAAGTTTTTTCATTTTCTGTTTTTTAAAACACAGTTCCTTCCTCAATGTTGCCTCTCGCATGAGTGGCTGAGAAGGGATAAACCGGGAAAGAAGTGTACAAAATAAAATACAATGGATTTTCTAATCTCGTGGCTGGAAAATGTGGTCTCCAGGGTAGTTTCTAAACTAGGAAAGAGACTGCCTCTTCCACTCTAGCATGTATCTTATCTGTCGTGAAGAAGTTTCTCTCCCTACAGATGCTCTAAGGATTATTGGACGTCATCCTAAGCATGCCCACGGTTCTATAGTGATGGCCTTGCGTTTCAGAGGGGGTGATGCCGTGGGGAAAAGCACGAGAAACTCTGTCCTTGGTAAAGCAGAGGCTTTACTTTGTCAGCCTCTTGAAGATGGGTGTAGCTCAGGGCAATCAGTGGAAGTTTCAGAGACCAGCCCTTATTATTTACTAAAGCAATCAAATAAATCCAAAGTTGTAAGAGGCTTGCTCTACTTCCTGCTGTAAATGTCTGTCCTCATTACCAGGCGGACTGGCACGACCTGGCTCTCTAAAAGATCCAATTCCAATCTTTTGGGAGTTGCCATAGATGCCAAACAAGCATGCTTGTGGAAAAAGGAAGAAACATGCAACAAGAAAAGCAAATAGTAAGGCTCTAGCCTACCAAGAGTGGGTATCATGCACTTTCCCCCTAATCTGCTGGCCTTTCAGGAACTGCATTCCCTGTCTGACTACTTTGAGCAGGGGGTAAGTTTTCAAACTGCTGAAAATATATAGGGGTAAACTAGCGGGAAATCCTCCAAATAGAAGTACTCTCTGTTTATTTTTGCCTCCAGTCAAACTAAGCGAGTGCATTTAATATCATGGAACTGAA